CTTCGCTCTCCGCCAGCCAAGCCGGGGGTGGCCGCTGCCGTGGGGCTGCCCTGTGGCATCTCTGACTCGCATAAGAGCCTCAGCGGGGTGATGGATGTTAAAATCTGCTGCAGGCTATCGCTGACCTAATTTCTAGCATCGCTGTGGATCTTGTCATCTGTTGCTTGCAGCCTGGGTGCAGATGGGCTGACAGGGAGCTAAGTGTGGGAGAGGGTGCGTGGGGACCCCCGGGCTATGCTGCCCTGGCACCCCCAGCCCCGGGCGGCGCGGGTCCCCGCGCCGCCCGGGGCTGGGGGTGCCAGGGCAGCATAGCCCGGGGGCCCCCACGCACCTCCTGTGCCCAGGCTGGGGCAAACAAGATACTTGGGGTCCAGCTCAGCTTCACTCCCTGTAGATTTCTGCTAAGCAGAAAACAAATGCTAATTACACAGCATAGTTAGCGAGATGCTGCATCTATTTTTAATCAGCTTTGGAAGATATAGTCTTCCTTCTGCTCCACGCTCACCAGCAGCCTCTTCCATGGTGGAGCGGTGCTTAGTCAGGGACCCTCCGGTGGGAAATCTGTTGCTCTTCCCCTTCACGCCCCTGGGATGGGGCTGGGATCCCTCCTGGGATCCCCAGCCAGAGGAGCATCCCCCAAAATTCCTTGGTGGAGTCTGAGGCTCCCACTCAGATCCCAGGCCCTCCGTGAGCCATCAGGGAAGGATGGAAAGGATGGAGGAGATCAGCTCAGCTCTGTCAAGGTGGTGTTCAGCAGCAGCTGGGAAAACTGCAGGAGGAGGAGCCCGGGAAAAGGTTGCAAAAATATTCTGAGAAGGCGAGATGGTGGGGCCAGCCCCGCTTTGCCAGCAGCTCCCTGCCCTCGGTGTGGGCGGGACGGAGTCTCCCCGCTGCTGGGGGATGCCCGGTGTCAGCCCTGGCTGGGGAAGGGTCGCTTCAGAGACAGCTGCGGGGCGCAAAAAGCAAAGTGGATATGCGCGTCTGCTGCAGCTGTACGGGGGGGGGTGGTCCCAGTCCTTGTGGCACCAGTGGGGTTGTGACATACGTGGTCAAAAGCAAAAGCTAAGAGGGGGGACGTTTGTGGGACCCCCCGGGCAAACTTTGCTCTGAAACATTCAGCAGAGAGATGCAAAGTGCCTTTTAAAGTGGATATGCACGTCTGCTGCAGCTGTACGGGGGGGGGTGGTCCCAGTCCTGCAGGTTGTGGCACCAGTGGGGTTGTGACATATGTGGCCAAAAGCGATTTGTGAGAGGGGGGACGTTTGTGGGACCCCCCGGGAGAGCAGAGCTCTCCTCCTGCAGCTGGCAGCAAGGGAGGCAGCAGCTCGGAAAGATCCAGAATTATCAGGATTCTTCCAAAATTGCTTTAAAACTAACCCGTGGGATGCAGCAGGGCTGGCAAGGAACTGCTGCTGGGAAGGACTGATCCTTCCACCAGGCATGGGGGCTGCCTGCAGCTCATCCCTCCCCAGAGACCCTTTCCTCCTGGTGACCAGAGTGTGCCACTATCGTGGGTTAGGGGACAAGGAGACTTACTTGTCTTCAGCCAACAGGACTGAAGGGTAAATATATCATTTTATCTAATTGAAAGGCTGCACGGAAACAGGCTGATGGCTGGGAGGTGAACCTGGATCTCTTTGGGACCCTGGGGTAGGTGTATGCAGGATTTGGACCACCAGCAATCTGGTAGGTCCATGTTGGATGGGGATGGTCCAGGTTACCCGGTTGGAGCTGTTTCCCTGCAGTGGCACCAGCGGCTGAGCTGGTCCCCAGTGTGTGCTGCCATGGGAGCCGTCGGGGCCGGCCCCAGCACGCTTGAGCAGCCCAGGAGCTGTGGAAGAGCCAGAAGAGCTGGCAGCGCCCGGGCAGTGCTGGGGGAAGGTGATGCCTCCTTGGCATGGATGTAGCTCAGCCACTTTTCCTCCTGCACCTCTCGGCTCCCCCAGCCTCCGGGTGAGCCGGCCGCCAGCACACGGGGTATCCTCGGAGCCGAGCTGCCGGAGATGGTCTGTTTGGTGAGCGGTGCCAGTGTGTCCCCATTTCAATCAGCCCGTGCAAACAGCCCTCTCTGACCTCCCCGCTCCACTCTTGCCCACCCTGCCTCCGCCGGCCACGTGCTCGGAGCGGCCGGGGTCGCGGCTGCCTCCCCTCTGCTGCACAAAACGATTTCCCTCCTGAGCTGTACCGAGCACTGCCACTAACCCATTACTGTAGGACAACAGCGCTGCCCTTTCCTGGTATTTACCCATCAGGCATCCCCCCAGCTCCGTCAGCTGGGCTGTGGTGCAGGGACAGCCTGATCCACCTCCCAGCAGGATGGAGGCAGCAGGCTCGGGGCCCGTGACCGGGGTGGTCCCAGCTCTCTGCACATGCCAGCGCATGGGACATCGTGATGCTGCTCATGCAGCAAAACCTCCCCACGCGTCCCCTCCCGCAGCCTTGCCCTGCCAGGGTCTGTGCTTGTCACCGCCTCATCCCCGCGTTGCTGGAGGAGGCTCTGCTGGGCCTTGAAAAGATGGAAAGTGGCAGCACTGGGGCTTTTCGCTGCCCTTGTGACCGAGGGGGATTTGGTTTAAGGGGGATGCTGGCACGGTGGGAGCGGGCGAGATGCACAGGACTGGAGGGCTGGTGGGGCTTGCCGGGGGGCTGGGCCTTGGGGCCAGCCGGTGCATCCCATAGAAGTGCTCTGGGCTGATGTGTCCAAAGCTGCCGTGGGGTCCATGGGCTGCAGAGGTGCTGCAGGACCTCTGCAGGGCTCTCTGCCCCTCGCCAAGGCTCCTCAACGCCTCATGGGTTTGAATAAATCCTGCAGCCACCAAGAGCCTAAT